AAAGCCAGGCAGTGCAAACCTGTCAGCGCTGCCTCCTGCCAGGACAGCAGAGAAGGGGCAAGAGCTTGCAGGATCTATTGTTTCCACATACTTTTATTATTTATTTACGCAGGGAGGCAGAGTGTTTTTCCATGTCACCATTTGGTAGCTCGGAGCTCTCTCAAGCTGGCAGTCCCCTCAGTCACTCTTACTGGGGGGTTCTCCTGGGTCCTTGGTCAGCGGAACATTCTGCAGTGGCCTCAGATTGTAGGGCTTCTGCTCCCGCAGTATTTTGGAGGCCTAGCTGGTAGCACCCTTTAATACACAGTATTGCGGCTAGAAGGGAGCCAGGCCTTGCCTGGGCAGCTAGGACTGTTGGGTACATGAGAGCACATACCTATCCCACCATCTATACCTACGGAGAGAGACCAGAGCTAACTGTCTCCAAGCTATCAAGTTAGCTGCCCACTGCACTCAACAGTGACAGAAGCAGCTCAGGCACCTTGGAAAAGCTACTGGTGTATACGCTTTCCTGGTGGCTGCTGTCTCCATAACATCTCTAGCCTCCTGCTGTACTGTTCTTACCAACTGGGCTGGAGTCTTGCCTTATTCCAAGTTCCTCCGGGCTCCCTGAGCATCATGAAGGAGCCCAAAACCAACTGTATCTACAGGCTGAAAATTGCAGAAATGCTTGGCAAGGTTGCAGCTGACGGGGCACTGCTGTGTGATCCCTGCACTGTCCCTACAGCCTGAGCGTGGGCAACACATGCTGTCCTCCAGCAATGCTCAGCTGGCACCGGGTCCCAAAGTGGCTGCAGCCAGATGGTGAAAAACTGCAGCAGCCCTGAGAGAGGGATGTGAACTAGAGCACAGTGATGTAGTTTCCTCCTACAAGCACTCTGAACTGCACCGTCCTGGATCATGAGAAGAATGTTTTGAGTTGGAAAGGACCTCAAAGATCACCTAGTTCCAACCCCCCTGCCATGGGCAGGGACACTTCCCACTAGACCAGGTTGCTCCAAGCCCCATCCAACCTGGCCTTGAACACTGCCAGGGACGGGGCAGCCACAGCTTCTCTGGGCAACCTATTCCAGTGTCTCACCACTCCCATCATAAAGAATTTCTTCCTTTTGTCCGGTCTACACCTACCCCCTTTCAGTTTAAAACTGTTACCTCTTGTCCTGTCACTACAGGCCCTGGTAAAAAGTCTCTATCTTTCCTACAAGCCCACTTTACACAGTGAAAGGCCACAATAAGGTCTTCTCTTCTCCAGGCTGAATGACCTAAACCAGCAGGAAATGACTACTGCATACTTGGCAGCATCAGCAATTTCAGATTTTTCCTCACTATCTCAGGACTGGAAAACTTTCCAAATACTGTAAGTTTCTTTACAGGAATGGAGATAGAGGGAATCTTCACCTCTATGAATTTCTGCTTTTAGATGGCCTGCATAACTGCTTTGCAGCACATTAAAAAAAATCCTTTTCATGGTATCTGTACCTGGCCTGAAGTCCCTTTCCTGAGCTCCTGAAAGCCACAGGATGTCACAAGACATGTTGTTCAAACACTGTAGGTGCCCTTTCAGTCTCCAGCTCATCTGCAGCTGTAGTAGTCTCCCCTCTGTAAGAAAAGAAAGGATGAAGAAGCCTGCTATTATGCTCCACTGCCTGTCACTGCACCAAGAAATGTCCACTTCATGTCTCTGCCAATTTTGTGATCAGGCTGTTACTTTTTAGGGTTTTTGTTTGTTTGTTTGTTTTTTATTTTTGTTGTTGTTGTTGTTTTTTAGCAAGGTGTAGTCAACCTGGAACTGTTAGGGAACTGAAGGCCAAATTCTATGAATATTTTTGAGTACAGAAAGATACTAGAACAACCAGAAAGGCCCTTGGTCTGTATGAGATAAGTACTTTGACTAGAGATAGGAGTATCTACTGCTGGAGGGGCTTGATGAATCCATTTTTTAAAATAAGCAAAGAATAAGTAACTGTGTGGAGACAGTGTTCTTCAGGAGGACTGTGTTCAAATCACTGCTCTGAATCGGGCAGAAGGAGGATTTGAATCTAGTTCTCCTACACCTCAAAGGAATGCCTTGTCCACCATGCTAAAGAGAAAAAAAGAGTCCCCTAAAGAAGAGGAGTAAGAAGGAAATTCTCCCGGTCAAACAAGAGAACATTGTCATTTTCCCCTGAGTACTTTGTAAGAACCTTATCTCAGCAAGCCCTAAGGGTTTATTTAGCATCCCATGGAACAGGTTTTCAGCCAATGTTGTCTGTATGCAGCCTCTTGTTCCTCCACCACCTTTGGAGTTTTAAACATGGGTTTCTTGCTGTCTGGTTTCTGCTGAGTATCGTGAGCATACAGAAGACTGAATCTTGATCTTCTGGAAGTCTAGAGCACTGGGGAGATGATACTACCTACATGTTTGCAGAGATCAGTGTATTTAAAAATAAGGCATTTAATTCTGCAATATGCCATAGATTATTTATCAGCATTTGAACTGCAAATTAACCTGCCTTGCTTCAGAAGTGTTTTGTTTGGGCATCTCCATGTTTTTCAGATCATTGTGACAACTATTTTATATTCATTTTGGTTCTTCACTAACAAAGCTTCTCTTGTTACACCTAAGCGTAATAAAGAAAATAGCCCAGTACATAGGAGAAGTTATGGAGGACTCAAAAGATAAAGTCCAGGAAAATCTTCTGGCCAATGGAGGTAGGTGCTGTAAACGTGGGTTTTTAATGCATTGATGCTGCCTTCGTTTGGTTGAGGATTTGAACATTTTGGAATTGAAACACTCACACATCAGAAAGGACAACCAACAGTAACATTTTTAAAGAACACATCTAGCCTGCCTCCATTTTTCTCAAAAGTTAGCAGAAGCTTTATCCAGCATCAGCTTTGCTTTCAGGACAGTGTTCAGCATCTAGTACTGAACTAGTTTCTAACACTAGAGCTGAGAAGCGAAGAGGAAAGCAGGAGACATCGTGTAACAATCCTAAAATGACCTGGGACCTTTCTGTGCCCTGTATGGGCTTGATCTCTTACGAGCAGCTAAATCTCACTCTGTATGGCTGCATGACATCTGTCAGTGATTTGCCTTCCCTCCTGCAGGGCTGGGATAGATCACGTTTTTAACTGTGGATTTCTGACATCACAGGTGGCCATGTGAGGCCACAGCTACAAAACATGGAGCTGGGGCTGTGCTCACAAGGTAGTGCCAGAGGCCAGCAGGATGTGCAGGTGCTGCTCCTGTCAGGAGGAGATGCCCGCCCATGGTGTCCTGCCCTGGCTGCAGCCGTTGTGTAGCAAAGAGGAGCAGGCAGTGACAGCAGGGGCACTTCTGATGTGCCAAAGGGCCGTGGGAGCCCACTACCTTGCTGTATGCTCCCCTACATCACCTCTAAGTAGTAGTCAATGTGGTGTTTTTATAACCTCCATGAACTAATTTTTCCCCTTTATTATCTAATACAATACTCAAGGCCCTAAAGGGAGCCTGTGTCGAGGACAAAATTAACATTTAGAAACTGATGGCTCCTAGATCTCCACATGTTTTGTTAGACCCTCAGTATGCTTCAGAGCAAATTCCTCCCCAGCTATCCTGGAAAAGTACAACAAAATTTGATATGTTACACATGCTAATTACAGGCTTGAGTGCACACTCCATCACCCTTTGACTTTCTGCAATGTTGTACTTCAGATGTGTATGAGTAAAGGATGGGGAGGAAGTTCTTTCAGAAATGTCCTCCTTGCATGACTTAAGACTGACATTTGATGACTACAAATGCTTCACAGGTACAATAATCCCACTTACTGTGTTTCAGGGCTAAAGGATAAGATGAAATGTCTCAAAAGTATGTTAAGGATTGATGGTTGTGGTGTTGTTCCAAGCATGCATTTGGGTGTATTAGTGCTAGAGGCAAGTCTTGGTCTGGTTGTAGAGATACAGTGATCAGGTTACAATGGATTTTTCAAGTAACAACCTCGTAGCTTGATCACAATATCCCCATGACTTGAGAAACAACAGGTTTCACTTATTTCCTTTGTTTCCTCTTCTTACACCATTTTCCTTTCCTGTCAGCTCTGCATGCATTGTAATAGAAGGATGTGGAAATTACTTGAATGGAACGTGTTACTAATTTCTGTCCTCTGTCTCGATTTTGTCATCCAAACAAATCATGTTAAACTAAGACATTAACCTTTCCAAGATTATTGATCGCATCTTGAAAAATTGAGTCAGTTTTAGTATATGAGGATTCCCCTAATATATTCCAGTGTCATTCTTCATAAACAGCAGCAACTTCGCTGTATGAATTCTTCCTCCTCCCCTTCTGATTAGTGAAAGGACCCTAAAGTTGAAGACTTCCTTGAGGTCGTGAAATCAGAAACAAAATTATGACTCGCTGCATGGTCCCATTTCAGACTATTACGCTTCCCAACTCAGATTTTGGTTTAAATTATACTATACAAATTTTATGATTTTACCTTAGTTGTATATAATCCTGAGAACAGTTTGGTCCACAAACTGATGAAGATGGTGGCTGTGTGTCTAACAATTGTTTGGTTAGATTTATGTGAAGAAAAATGCAAAGTACTAGAAAATACAGCACTTTTAGTTATGTGAGCACACACACATTATTTCCAGTAGGCAACAGTCAGAAGCAGCCACATGGAGATGTCTTCTTTATAGAGGGGAATGTGTGTTTGTGTAATAAAGGGAATTTTAGTATATTGCAACAGCAGGAAATGCTTTCTTGCTTATGACAGTATACAAAATGTGAAATGTAATCTTCTTCAAAGATTCGGACCGAATTCCCTTCGATTTCTAGTAATGTTAAACCCAAACGAATTTTAAAATTTGCTAAGTTGTGGAATAACTTAATTCTTTATAATGAGCTCAAAACAAAGCAAAAAGGGAAGCATAACAATTTTGAAGAATTAAGTGTTTAGAAGGGAAAGTATTTAACATTGCCCCTTAGAGCTGGATGGGTAAATAAGAGGCTCCTGGAAGTGGCAGTAAGTAAGGGTTCCTGCGCAGCTGCAAGCACACTGGGGTAGGTAGGAAGCATCTCTCCTGGATGGGCAGCTATGTGAAATCTTTTAGAAGTGACTTGGTAGGTTCCATCAATGAGGGGTGCCATTCCAGGAACATCAAGGTGCTTGAACTGCTTGGTGGTTTAAGCTCAGTTCTGCTAGTGTGTTCACAGCAGTTTGTGCCATCCCCAAGATCAGGCTGCTTGACTAAGCTGCACCAGTGCCAGAGCACTGCTCAGGAGTGAACTTGTAAAATGGGCTGAGAATTCATGCTGTGCTTAACTGCCTAACATTTGAATTCTGCTGAGATTCAAGGAATGTGAGGGTAGAACGAGCATGTGTAGGTCTTCAGGGAACTTTCATATCTCCTCAGCTATAAATAGGCCAGTGTCTGTCTTTAGAGAGCCTGTAAATTCACTGTTCCTCCACGCAGCCCAGCAATACCACAGTCTTTGCAGGTTTAATTCCCATTGAATTTAGCAAATCCTAAGCAAGAAAGCTTGGAAGAGAGGCAGCAGGATGAAATCCTTGTATCATGTGCTCTGTGCAGAAAATGCTCTGTGAACTTTGTAGCTCAGGTATTTTTGGCCTCCCTGCCTCTCCCCCAGAGACCATGATCAAGCACTGCTGGAGAGCTGCGGGCGCAGGAGCTATGTGATAGCTCTCCCTGCCTTCTGCAGTTTTGCCCCCTTTCTGCACCCTCCCTGTGCAAGAGAATTTGCTGATTCCCAGTCAGACCTCAAGAGGAAGGGTTTGATCTTTGCTTCATGACTTCTGTCTGTTGGATGTGGGGGAGGTTTACACAGCTGTCGTTTTAGAAAGAGGGGGAGAACACCATCATGCTAGTGCGATCTGCCTCCCAGGCAGTTTATCCCTTGCTAAGAAGCCCGATTCCTCCTAACATGAGACTTTCCATGCTTTGGAAATCTAATAGGGTAAACTGAAGCTGTTGTGGGGTGAGAGAAGCCCATGGAAAAGATAGCGCTCTCCTGCCAAGGGTATTCGGTATCACACGAGACATGGTAGTACCCTCAGCCTGGTAGTATGGCAATTACACAACTTTTCACATTCCTTCTCATGCATCTTGGTTCATAAAGTTTTCCCCACACCCTGGAGGTCCAGCCCACAAGAAATTTTGCTCAAACATTGCTGTAGGACTGACTTAACTCTCTGGACAAGGCAGCAAAGAGTACTGAATGGCCCCAGCATGCCCCTACTTTTACTTGGCACCTTGAGTTTGTTTTTCCCCCATCTGCCCAGAGCAACTTCCTAGATATTCTCCATGTTTACACTCCTGGTCTGGAAGGAAGCCCATCCTGCAGGTGACAGTGCCTCTGGGCTCTTTTTCTAGACATTGAGACCCTGCCTGCTGCCTTCCTCTAGCCTCCCTAACCTGCAGCGGGACATTCCCAGCCCCTCTGCTTATTGTGGCAGGATGCGTGACTTTATCCAAATCTGTAAAGTTGCCCAAGAACACTAGGTAGGGGTGTGTTTGGCATCCTAAGGGCTCTCGGGACTCAGGTAAAGAGCTGTCTGATTTCATGAGCTGCTGGAGGAGAATTCCTTATTTGGTACCATAACATACCAAGCCTTAATGGTTTCTAATGTTAAGGAGCCTTGGTCTTCAGAGTGAAACAGCATGATCCTGTTCTCGGAGCTGGGTGTTGTGTGTGTCATCTCCCCTCGATTCTGTGAAGAAGCCATGGCTCCCCATGGTTCAAGGGGGCCGTTTTGGGGGAGGGCTGCATGCACAGGGCCTTGCTGTGAATTTCTGTTGTTGGATGCTGTGACTGAATTTACCTGTTTAGAGAAATACCGTGTAGCTTTGTGTGAGATGGGGAGCTCTGTGTGCAAAGTCAATGAGGAATTCCTCATCGCACCTGAATTTGTTTGATTTCTAGTGAGCGCTTGACTGAATCACAGAGAAGTGACATCAGCCGCCTTCTTAATACCTTTGATCAAACTCTCAACAACACTGAGTATTACTGCTGGTCCTGGGCACGAAGTATTTTTGTGATAGCTCTTGCCAGGATTAAATTCAGGCATATTGCAATAATGCAGATTGAGGTTACATGAAGTTGTTTGTACTGTGAAGAAGAATACCTGCACATTGCTGTGTCCTGCTGTTACAGCTAACTTCACAGTAATGGTTGTTCTGTACTGTTAGGTGTAGTGCGGAAAAGACTTATTATTCAACTTCTAAGTTTGGGGATGTTTAGAAAGGTGATTGGATTTGGTATGTGATCTGTGCAGATTTGATCTAGATCAGATTTCTATGAGGATTCAGAGGTGGGCTTCTAGTTCACTCCTGTCTCTAACATTAATCAAATTTATGCTTAGGCTATAGCTGGGGACTGTTACCCAAACTTTAACCTGCTGTCTGGTAAGCTATCTGTTTTCATGGATCTCTTTGCATTTGCAGTTGACCTAATTAGCTACCTGACACGGTTTGAGTGGGACATGGCCAAATATCCCATAAAGCAGCCACTGAAGAATATATCAGAAGCATTAGCAAAGGTAAATTTTACTCCACATTTTAAGATGTCAGCATGGGGAAGCACGTCTTTTCGCAGTTTTTGGTCCCTCCTTTCATGGCAGTCAGTGAGACCTTTGCCTTTGGTTTGAGCAGGAACAGGCTCAGAAGCATACACTTGGTATTGAAGCAGTTCATATTATTATAATTTATACTGTAATAACAATGGTACATATATTTAAACCTATCATCTAGTCTGTCAGTATATGGCACTTTATCAGGTTTACTAGAGAATATTGACATTCTTTCTGGACTTTAATCCCCATCATTGTAGTATTTTATTGTTTCTAAATACTGCCATTTTATTCTCTATTTTGAAGTTCTTTTGTGAAATTGTTGGCCTGACATTAAATCAAACGCATTGCAGGCTGGATGAATTATTTACACTGTCAGTCCATCCAGAAAGGTGTGGTGTGTTGTTCAATACAGATAACAAATGAAACTGAACTTGCTCCTTAGGTACAGCTGTAACACACAGAGCAACAGCTATCTGAATCCTACAACAGCTAACTGAATCCTACAACTTTTTGCAGAGCCCTTTGCCATAGGGAAGCTGTGACACCAGCTCCCTTTTGGCCACAATAAGGTAGTTTTACGAGGGGCTGACAGCAGTGTCCTTGCCTTAAGGTGGGGAGGTAGTGGGAGGGGGGAGAGGACAATGCCTCAAGCACCGAGTTGACTCACTTTTTAAAATTTTATTTTAGCAAGTGACTCAAATAGAAACAGACCTAAAGACCCGATCAGCTGCATACAACAACATTAAAGGAAATTTGCAAAGCCTGGAGAAAAAAACTGTGTAAGTATAGCACATGCCTGTTTGCATCTGGAGCGCTGCATGGCTGGACTGAGGACAGTGCGTGCTCACACCCATCGCTGTGCAGTGGACCGTGTGTGTGTTCTGGTGGGAACACATTTTTCTGGCTCTGGGACATGCTGAGCACCTACAGATTCAGTGAAAGCTGGGGCTGGAGCTGGTGTGATCAGCATGTCTTAACATCAGCTAAAGGAGACTGCAGTTCCTGATAGGATTTTATTGGCAGCGTGAGCAGTCTTGGAAAGACAAACGCACTGTATTGTTCTGATGAGATTTCAGGGAGTCAGGAATTGGATGAGCTGGGTCAACTGATGGATTCCTTTGCAAGACAGACCTGTTTCCTATGTTCTGAACAGCATTTGTAGAACTCCCATAGGAAACCTCTCTGTCTTGTTTGTTCCTGCACCTCACCAGCATCCCACTTTTCTTTTCTTTGTTTCATTCTATTGGTTCATGTAATGCCCTGTCAGGGCTTCCCAAATGTTCTCTCTCCTGTCTTCAACTGCTTATGGTCTTTACCTATGTCAGTACTGATGTGTGGATTTTTTCCAGGATATCACTGGGGAGAATAGTAAATTCTAGTAAGTAGTAAATTTAAAGCAACTTAGATGATGCTGTGCAAGCCCTCACCCAGCACATGCTCATATGTGCCACTCTTGCCTGCTCAGGCCCCTTGCTCTGGACACAGGACACAGGTCCTCACCCTTGTGGTGCTTCAGCCAGTCAGGCTGGCAGCCTGGCTAGAAACCAGCCTTTATTCAAGGAAGGTACTTACAGGGGCTCAAACCACACTCCAGGGTGGTTGGAATTTTGTTCTGAATGTGAACTAAAATGAACATGCCTGGCACCAACTCCACTGATCCCAGCCAGAAACCACAGAAAAAATTCTTTCAGGTGGTGGTTCAGAATGAGTTTGTCCAAAAACCTCTATTCCTCATGGAGATGTGCTCAACATGGGGACTACAGTGCCCACGAGGGTCAGCACAGCCATATCACAGTTACATCTCCCCCTCTCTCTGCTGAGTGCCTGGTGCCTCACCGCTGCCAGCCAGCACCAGTGGTCTGTGCTTCCAGCTTGGTACAGACAGTGCTAGACACATTTGTCTGAGGCTGAGTGCATGTGGGTAGTCAAGGGCGGGAGGGACAAGGGGACAGTTGCTCCTACTTCCGTTTTCTTGATGCTGTTTGTATTCCCAGCCCGCTCCTGCAGCATCTCTCCATGTCAGCTTTTAAGCACCTGGAGAGAGGCAGAAGCTCTGTGTGGGGAACATGAGCAGTGCCAGGCCTCCACCAAGGTGATGGGGGAGAAGAACAGAGAGCTCATGGTCCAGGCCTATCTTCCTCTCACCTTCCCATCCACCTTTAAATGCTGGCATCTCTGGTGTCTACCAGTGCCAGCTAGCTTAGGTTGAACAAACATCTAAGAAGATGTTACTAGCCAGTTGATTGACGTTTAGACTGGCACAGCAAACCTCAAACCAAAAACTACTGGTTTAGGTCCTTTTTCACTCTTGCCCAGTGGCAGGGAAGGCAGCTGCTTGCTTCCCATACACACCTAGTGCCTACCAGCCATGCCTGGCCAGCCCCAGCCATCTACACTCCCTACGTGTGCAGCACTAGTGAGACTTAATGTGATCAAGTGGGCTTGGGCTGTGCAGAGACCCCCTCCTGCAGGTCCCACCTGCACACGAGACTGCTGCTCCCACTGTTCTTCAGCTGGAGGTGTCGCTGTGTGCTTGTCCGCAGCAGTCCAGGGATGCCAGGGTTGCTTAGGTCCGTACTAACATTGCTTGCTCTGACTGAAACATGGTCGCACAGGCAGCTCAACAGGCAGCCTGAGAAAGCAGGTGCCTCCTGCAAGATGTGGCAATGACTGGGAGCGGGGTGGTAAGTTCAGATGTGCACTTCTCAAGCTTCTGCACCCTTATTGAGAAACAATAGCAGCAGAATGGTGTAATTTCACATAAAGGACATAAACTAGCCTAGTGCTAGTCACCAATATTCCACCGTTAGTATTAGTTGCTTTTTTGATTCTTCTTAGTAGCAGTAAAAATAACTAAATGGCCATTTTAGAAGTGTAGATGAGTCCCTTAGCCATCTCCTTGCTGGCCGCCTTCTACCCCAGTGTACGCTATTAGCAACTATACCCACAGCACCGTACTCCTAGTATGCTGCTGCTGGGTTCCTGCTAATGTTATTTTTTGCCTCTTCACCGTAGGGGAAATCTGCTGACTCGGACCCTAGCAGACATTGTGCATAAAGAAGACTTTGTTCTGAATTCCGAGTATCTTATCACTCTGCTCGTCGTGGTGCCAAAGTAAGGCAGTAGTGCGTGCACATGTGCTCAATGTGGCACCGAGTTTCAGGGCTGAGCACCGGGTTCAGGTGATACTGGGTCAGGCTGGGGCAGCTCATCAGTGCAGTGGCTGGGGCACAGGTGGAGCTGTTAGCAGAGAGGAAAGGACAGTTTCTGCCAAGGGTGGTGCTGGCACAAAAGAAAGAGACAGAGACTGCTCCAAACTCGGAGCAGGACAGAATTGGGATGTAGGTTTTTAATGGTTACAGAGTGGTTTCTCAAACGCCTCCTGGTAGGAAAAGTATGAGTTAAAAAAAAAAGAGAAAAACAGATTCTTACTGAAGCTTAGGCAGTTTATAAAGGGCGTTAGACCTGTCAAACTCACAAGGCCTCTGCTGGCCGTGTATTCCTAAGTGCCTGCGCGTGGGATGACTGCCATCACCGTCAGTTAGGAAGTTAGGCGATGTCCTTCTCAGAAGCCTACACAAAACTTCCTCTCTGTATAGCCCTGTCCCAACATGCACATACAGTACCGTCACTTTTCTGTCTGTGAAAACCATGTTACAAAAAGCTATCTGAGGTAAGTTTGTTGAGTTTATTATCCGCACATTCTTTCAGATTCCCCCATAAACAGACTTCTCGCTTTGCGAACTCTTACCATCCCTTTGACCCCCTTCTCCCAGTGCTGGCACTTGCCATGTTTGCAGTGTAGAAGCAGATCAGCTCTGGGATTGCACATAGCAGATGTACCACACCTACCCAGGGATCAGGGGCAGCTTGTGCAGGGGTCCTGGAGCATGGGACACTGTGTGGCAGCCTGGAAGGATGTGCCAAAAGCCATGTTCCTCCCACCATCCTCCTCTGGGCCCTTCCTCATGCCAGGACCCAAAGTAAGGATTGAGGGTGCAGCATTAAGGGAAACATCTCTCTAGCTGGTCACTAGGACAGGAAAAGATAGGAGAGGCTTAATGTATCTCAGTGACATAACCCAGCACGAAGAGCTCCAAACCTTCTACCCTAAGCCATTAGCTTAATTAACTATATTTATCAACACATTTGTTTTCTGGTTTACAGTATTTATTTGCCGTGCTTCATTTTGTGTTGCTCAAAGGTCAAGCTATGTCCAGTGGCAGAAGACCTATGAATCACTCTCTGACATGGTCGTGCCTCGCTCCACCAAGTAAGTGAAATTCCAAATTGGGGTCCCTGTTCGTTTCAGAGATCGCTGCCATAATTCAGCCCCTCAAGTTGATGGATCCTGGAAGGAATCACTGGTCTAACACATGGGCTCCATGTTAACATATAGATTTGCCCAGTCTCATTCTCAATTGAAATCAGAAATTAACTGTTGAAGGGAAGTGCAGATGAAATAAAAAAACTAATGACTTTTTTTTTTTTTACAATTAGCTTGTTGTTCCCTTTCCCAGTAACCTATTTCCTTGTACTTTCAAGCAGGGCCTTTGCATTTGTGTAAAACAGACAAAAAATTTCTTACAGTAATCCAGGCGTAATTGAGACACATGCAATCACATACAACTTCATGAAAACTACTTTTTACAAAGGTCAAACACTATGTTTGCATCTTTAATTGCTTCCCGATGTAAAATAGGCTAATGCAGTGTACTGTCATCTGCATGAGCAAATGCCATATTAACATATCCTTTCACCTGTAGTAAAAAATCCTTCCTAGGAATTAATTGTGGAATCATTAAGGTGTGAAAAGACCTCTAGGATCATCAAGTCCAACCATCAACCCAACACTACCATACCCACTAAACCAACTATTCCACTGCTCAGCTCACGCAGACCATAAGGTCCAATCCAGAGCACAAGAGGTCACAGTGCTATTACTTGAAATGGAAGGAGAGGAAACCACAGAGAAAGAATCAAGCTGTTTGCTACTGCCTGTCTCAAAAACACAAGTGTGTGGAAAGCGGGGGAACGTTACCAGGAAACACAGAAAAACCAGGCAGGCAGAATGTATGTTTACTACGGTAGGTTCAGGAGCTAGACTCGGGGGAGTTTTACATGGAGATAGCGTGGCTGGCACTAGTAAAGTCTTTGTTCCCTATTTCAGTCACAACATTTCTTGAAAAGCAGGGTGTTGTTTAGTATCATAAATCAACAAAAGGACTGCAAAAGGGGAAGGTAAAGAAGGCATGAGGGATTTGCCATGTCAAATCACAGCAGTGGATTTCCTTCCCACAGAATGATTGCTGAGGATGCAGAGGGAGGACTCTTCACCGTGACTCTATTTAGAAAAGTGGTGGATGACTTCAAGGCTAAAGCCAGGGAGAACAGGTAAGCACTGATTGCTAGGCAGGGCAGGCTAGCAAGCGGATGATAACGATAAGGCAAGGCTTGTTCTGTGTGCAGTACAGCTGAATCCATCACTGTTTTTTAGGGCTGCTGCTGGTCCTAAAGCCACTGAGCAGGCAGGGTGGGAAGAAGCTGTGGCAGCAGATACTGGGATTCTGTTCTTTAAGCACCAAACTACAGATCCTGCAATTGTCCTTCCTGCTCTGATGCTACCGGCAGCAGGAAGCTTGCTTTCTGGGTGTCTTCGACTCCCACCCTCCACATATTTAACTGGTTAAATGGTTAGCAACTTTGAAACTTCCCATACCTGCTTCTCTAGAGGCAAAAGAAATGAGTGCATACAATGCTTGGACTATGGCTTGTGAGAGCAAATGTCATTCAATTGTAGGTTCATGGTTCGAGAATTTTATTTTGATGAGAAGGAACTGAAATGTGAAAAGGAAGAGCTGATGAAGTTAGCTTCTGATAAGAAACAACAATATGTAAGTAGCACATAAAGTTGCTGGCCCCTATAATGAAGCCTTTGCTACTGACATGCCTAAACATCCCTCACTCAGAAATGGCTTTATGGTTCCAACAGACTCCAGCGAGCTCCATTTAGCCCAGAAAACTGAGGCACAGGACAGATAACACAATTTGCCCAAGGTCACTTCAGTTTCTGATGAACTGGGAGCCACAAACAGGCTGCCTGAGAATTCTCTCAGCAGCCTGTGATGGCTTCAGTCGTGTTAGCTATGGAGCTGCTTCACACAGCAAGGGGTTCACAACACTGTTGTATCTGTTCTCATAGGGCCCGTTACTGCGCTGGCTGAAGGTGAACTTCAGTGAAGCTTTTGTGGCTTGGATTCATGTGAAAGCCTTGAGAGTTTTTGTTGAATCTGTCCTGAGGTAAGTGGGTAAACATGCAGTGCTGGCAGAGAGTCCTGTAGAGGTCACAATGTACAGCTCTCTTCCTGGGGCAGTTCCTTTGTGGGAGGGAACATCCCGCACACACCTTGTTCCAGGAGCTCACAGGAGACAATACAGATGACCACAAAAAAGGTGACATACGGAGTTGATGGAAAACAGCTCTTTGGGGGCAGTTTCAGGGAAATGGAAAACAGAAAGACGCTGTTTAGTTGACTTTCAGCTTCAGAAGAAAATGATTTCAGATAAGGAGGCAGTGCACCACCCCTGATTGTTTCTGCACTGCACTGTCAGCTAGCATGCCAGGCGACTGAAGAGGGAGGAGGGCAGGAACGGGAAGGCGTGCCCCTTCCCAGCGGATGATCGTGCCTCTTGATGTGTTGTTTCAAGGTACGGCCTCCCAGTGAATTTCCAAGCAATGCTGCTGCAGCCAAACAGGAAGTCTGTGAAACGCCTGAGAGACGTCCTAAACGTGGTCTTCAAACACCTGGATGAAGTGGCAGCAGCAAGTATAATGGATGTACGTATTCAGATTGCAAGTGCACATGCCGCAGCTTGTCTTGGCTTAAGCCAAATGAACACTTTCACTGTCCAGGGGCTAGAGCACACATCTCCTCACATCTTGCAGTGCTAGGAACCCTGGATGCAGCTCTAATCCCTGGTGGTTACAGATTGGATTAGAGTAACATGTAGGCCTAGATTATGATGGAGATGCATGGAGATGTCTTACACTTTCTGTTGAAGCATTGATTTGTATAGCTAGCAGACTGAAATAGGTCTGCTCAGTTATGACAGTTCCTCTAGGTAAAAAGCTTCAGGTGTTCTATAAGCATTCAGATCAACACAAGCAAGAAAAGTAAATCCAGAACTAAACGCTAGTACTGTGACACCTGTCCCCTGTAAAAGGCCATCATTGCCTAAATACCTCAACCTAGGCCTTCAGCAAGCAGTACTTGCTTTCTCCCTCCCCATACCCTGAGTGCACAAACAATTTAGGATAAACCCATTAGGATAAACCAGGTGTTAAAACAGCCTAAACCCAGCAAGCGTAAGATTCCCAGTGCCTGAAGGGAGGAGAAAGAACTAAGTTGCTCTAGGGCTGAAGCACACAAAAGTGCTACAGTACACATTCATGAAGTTGCAACCAAGCCTGAATTCTCAGTGCTAACTGTATTAGGCAGCCTGAAAACACCAGGCAAACACCAGGTTCTCAGTGGTGAGTTCCCCCTCTTAAGCACAGCAAATACAGAACTCCATTCCACCTGTGGGAGAGAAGTGCAAAAGCAATGCACTGTAGCTTGGACCTGTGCAACTCTTTGTTTACTGGTACTAAAGTCATACTGTTTCCTTTTGCAGCCTGGCATGGACATCCCCGGTTTACAACTGAGTAATCAGGAATACTATCCTTACGTCTATTTCAAGATTGACCTCAGTCTTCTTGACTGAAGTTCAAGAAAAATTGCTCAAGCTTCATCTATTGATTTTCAAGACCCTAATGTTACAGTAAGACAATCTTTAGCTCCTGAGAGTCAAATCAAAACGCAGATGCTGTAGCAGGATCTTCCTACCACTTTCAGTAATTTTTACAGTGACTTAAGTATAAATATCTCTTGTTCTTAGTTTTAGAAAAACATATTTCAGAGGCAGGAGGTACTGTGGTAGTATTTATTTTTTTTTTGGTAAGTTACAAAGATGGAATACCTATTGGACTTGAAATAAAGCAATTTAAAAAGCGTAGTGGCTAATGGATCTACTAGGTCTATACAGTCCTGTTTTTCTAACAAAGCAAACTTAAATTAAAAAAAAGTATAAAGCATCAGAGCAAAACCCAAAGTTTTTTTTTAATTTAAAAAAAAAAAAGCTAAAGAAGAAAGATCCTCAAAATTGCTGTGGAACTTACTGTATTATGACTTAGAGTCACAAGTACTCATAAGTTTAGTTTTTGCCAAGATATTTCAGTCAGAACAGTTCCATTAGATGTCATCTGCTGGGATGACTTAGAGTTGGAGCACCGAATCAGCAGTCAAGTTACTGTTGGCCACCAGTGGTTCTTATGCTGCCTTTCATAGGGATGAGCCACACGCCGTCTCTTACGGACACTAGATGACAAAATATTCATATTAAGTTATTTCCTTGAAAGGAGGGGAAACTTCCAGGTCCTTCATTCCTTACTTATAAGCAAGCTGATGACATGAGGGTCACTTCACTAGACACCAATACACAAGACATGGAGAGCAACAAAATATAGTAGTATTTTTATTAAAAAAAGCAGCAGTAACCATACCCATTCCCAATCCTGATTCCCCTTCCAAGGAAATTGCAATTTCAAATCAAAACAATGCCAGATGGGAAGTGAAAAACTATTACCCAATTTGCTGGAGACAGCACCACGGTGTTTTTCTGTTAGCACCTGGAAATCCTCATGCCCTAGAAGGAGGATTAGCTTCACTGCTAATCCTGGGCAAAAGACAACAGCTCCCAGTGTCTCCCATTGCAGCAGCGACCCACTTCCACTGTATCAATGATCTTATGAAGTCTGGCACAAAGAAAGAGAAAGCCCCTGAGAAGGAATAGGAAAAGGAAGACTAAAGAGCATTTAAACTAAGATTGTCCATCTAAACAGGCCTTAGGCCAAACTGTCAAAACCATTCACAGCAAGGGGGTGGTGGCTTAGGACTCCCCTCTGCACCGGCCTCTCTATTCTATGGTTCATTTTTCAAGAGCCATACAAAATGGGATAGCTTTCATCATGCGCACCTTTGTTACTCTACACAAGACTAACACTGTGTGTCAAAAATATTTGTTTTATTCTTTAATTGAAACAGAAGCTGACCAGGCTCCACCTCCATGAAAAAAAATATCACATTTAGAATTGGTTACACTAACAGCCTCCAGTAACACTCAAACAGCACACTATCAACGAAATAAAACCCAAGATGTTCCAAAGAAATATCCATGATGTCCTCAAAATATTTGTTACACAGAATACAATCAAGTTTACTGGTTATGACAATTCATAGAATTTCTGCAATGTTTTCTTGAGATGCGTACAGTTCACTGCTGCAGTGCATCAGATAGCACAGTGTGGCAGGTGCTATTTCTCCATAAAAAGGCCACTGGAATATCCATTTGATTGTGAACCAGGTTGCAAACTGCTGCGCAAACTCTCCCAAGAAAAGAAGTTTCCTGAAGATCTCACAGCTCATCTTTATCCCAGTCATCCAGATCCACATCGCTGAGATCAATATCATCTTCAACTGGAAGCTGTGAAAAAGGGAAAGGCTTTGAGCACACCTTTGGAAGCACTTAACAGCAGGATGTCACTGACTTCGAAAGAGGTTTACTTCATCCTGAGAATAAAGCTCCCTCTCATCATCTCTTTCATTCATAGAAACTCAGAGTGTATTAAGCACAGGACAAGTGATCAGAGTTTAGACTAGAAGGTTGTTTTCTACTAATAGAAATACTTCAGATAAGGCAAATACTGATAAACTCTGTAACAAAACTACCACCATATTCTATATTGTAATTCCATCTCAAGTAGATCAAAGGACTGTAGTAACTTTGTTTTTTACAGCAATGTTGAAACTTAAGAACATACTTAATCCCTGTGTTACTTATTACACGGGCTTTACCTTACAAACTTTCTGACATTAAGACTTTGATGGTAAGGTCAGCATATTACAGAACCAAAGCCTCGACAACATTCCGCACCTGAACGCATACACTACTAACTCCCTTACTCAGCATAGGTCGTAACATATTTCAGCCTCATGGGATTTCAGATTACATCCTAACAGCTAGGCAGAAGTATCTGTCCACAATGTTAGATGATGAATCTGGTGGCGGGATTTAGATAATTGGAAACTATCAACACAACATGCCACAGTCTTTGAAGAACAAGAATTTGCACATTGCCAGTTCTTAGTTACTCTATCTAGTCCCTTCTGAACCTAGCAAATCACCAGCACTTGGAGAGATGGACCACCTCTTACCTCACCATCTTTGCCATCCCAAGGTTCAACTGAATGAATTTTAGGGAAAGCTCCACCACCCACTGGTGCTGTAGAGCCACGACCAACAGATAGTTCCCTGAGAAAAAAAAAACAAGGAAAAGATAAATTTAGGAAATTTATCCAGTCTCCATCCACCTGGAACAGTGTCTGCTGAAAAGGAAGTCAAATTTGAGATCTCATCTCTTGAAGCAAATCTAAACTGTCTGGAAGAAAAAGCTTTTCAAGTTGAGGAGCAGAAAATAGCGCCCTTAAAGCAGCATTGCAAATTTACAATTGGATCCAAAGAGACAAACCATGGGAGCTACACTATTTCATATCTCAGCAGTGTAACAACGATGGGCAAATACAGCCCCTTTAACAGTATGTTGTTTATCACCTAAGGCAACTCCAAGAGGAGTCTATAATTCTAGTTTTGAAAGTCACCTGCAACTGTTACTTGAAATCACTAGTGATCTTTTTAGTGGAACCTAAGGCTCTATAGGTTACAATGGGTATGAGGTAACCAGCTCCTGCTTTGAGACACTCCATCTTGCACTTGCTAGTTGGGCTTGCTCAAATAGCCTAATGTTAAAATCCTGAAGAGCTAATCCCTTTGCATTCTTATCAGAGGGAAATAAGACTGAATAAGCATTCCTCCGTAGATGGAGTCTACAATTTGCATGCTTTTCTCAGTGCAGATTTCCTTACTTTTGGTCAACACTGTTGAGACTGTCTATTAGATTGCAAACGCTGCCCACAGCAAGCTGAGTTAACAGCCAGCTACACCAGCTGTGATTGTACTGCTTTCTGTAGGCAGCACAGCTGAGCCAAAGTGTCAAGCAAGAAATTATTCTAGCAAGCACTGCTCTGTAGTAAGACAACACCAAACCAATTATCTACTGCAATATAAGCTGTTGAGTTGGCTGTTGTGTCCTGGAAGCACCGCCCACCCTCAACGGGAGAGGCTTCACCAAGATGGGATTTATAAAATCTATTTATAATCTCTATAAGAGACTTAAGAGAATTTGCCATGTCTGAGAAAAGCAGACATTTATCTCACATGCATTAGTACAGACTGTCTGGTATTACTCTTCTTGCATCCGAATCCTAAATTTTACTTGACGCTTTGAGAACGTTCCCTTTTTTGGCATTAAGAAGGAAGTCTGATCACTTACACAGGTAAGAGATTATAGCACTGTTTCCATTAATCCAGCAGGAACAGGACTTAATTAACGTGGTACTTATGGCAAGATGGGGAGAGACTGTTCTATTTACTTTTGCAATTCTGACTGTCCCCTGCCATCCTCCAAGCAAGGACATGGAAGTAACACTGCTAATGTAAGCTCTCAAAGGCTCTTCTGTACCTTACAGCAGCTGGTGTTTCACCCAGAAGCAGAGTTCCCACTTCACTCTGACCATGCTTAAGGAACAGCTCAAGTTTAGCTGCTCTGTTTCAGTGCCGCTGCTGCTTTCTGTCCTCCCCTCCATTTCCCTTCTCTATTCAATTCTTCTCAGCGCTGGCTCTTGCCCAGTTACACAAGAGGGAGTTTCAGGGAACTCGAGCTGAGCAGAGAGCTAGTGAATTTTTGGATGGATTGCTTCAGCTTCCCCAATTAGTTCAGCTGATGGCAGGGGAATGGGGAAGGGGAGGGTGGGAGGGGAAAGACAGGACCAGGCTGAACCAGAAAGACGAACAGCAACATACAGAACCTCAACAGCACCCATATAGACTGCCAAAACTGTGAACTTCACAATTACCAACTACTAATCAGAAACGAATCATTTTGAATTAAATAGTATTGATTACCAAGTCCCATTCATTTCTTGGGTTACCAGAGAACCAGAATTTTTCAAGATCAAAGCTCACTTCTGTTCTCAAACTGTTTTCAAAGTTGTGCTAAAATTACCATTTAAGTCTAAACGGCCAGCTTCTTAATTCTGCCTACCAGCTAGGTAGCGACTGCTTTATTAGTTGCAATCCCTACTGAAATCATTCCCTCACTCCAATGAATGCTTGTCATCTAAATTCTCTTAACTGTGCAAGTCTCATCTGATCCAGGAGAGACTGATTTTTGACTAGAAAGTCACAGTCCCAGTTAAAGAAAGATTTAAAGACTTCATACCTGAGAAACTCATTAATCCCTTGCTCACTGAATGATCCTTTCAGAAGGGCAAATTTCATCTTCCGAGCGTTAACAGCTGCCATTGCTGGATACCCAAAGCCTCCAATCCCCAAAGAGCTCTCAAGATCTGACTGAGCACCTGCTTCAGTCCACAGCCACCTTGAGGAAAAGATAAAACAGAAAATGAATAATTAGGGTAGGCCCTACATTAGTTTTCAAGTCACACATATCCTGCAAGCCTGCAGAGTTCAAGCTGGGTTCTGAGCTGCCCTTGACAGTGTCAACTGTTAATGAAGTCCGTGGGGAACAGAAGAGTCCCAATCTCAAACCATGTAACAGAAGAAAGTCCCTCCTCAACAGCACCTCTAGGCCAGCCCCATGCTTACAGCCACTGAAAGCTGGATCAGAACAGCCATGAAAGACAGTTCAGGAAAAGAAGTACGTCACCAATCTGAACAAACTGCTACACTTTAGCCTATATTAAGCAAGGTTTGAAATGGCTCAAGTCACAGATTTAAACATGACAGGTTACTGCCCAGATCCCACTGTAGAGGATTTCTGGCCAAAGACTGCAAGACCAGTATTTCACTCAGTATTAGTTCCTCACTGGTCAGGTCTCAGTTCCTAAAATACTTAGCAAGTCCACTGAGGAACCTCTAGAATCAGCCAATCTCAGCATTTTCCCCCAAGGCTTTCATGCCACTTTGCCCCCCTCTCACAGCAGTCAGTGTGTCAGAACAACTCCCACTTCCCAGAGAAGTCCCAGAGATCCTAACCTCCACTTCAGAGGAGAAGAAAAGGCAAAGCCTGCCGGTCTGCTTCTTTGAGAGCACGAAACTTGTTAATAAACTAATAAACTGCAAATTACTTTTGTTTTTTTTTTCTTTTGAGTCAACAGTCATACTGGCAGACTCACCCACCAGCAAAAGACTCTGAAAGAAAGTGGATAAATACTACGCTAATATTTTAGCATTCAGGACAAGAGTGAAGGAGACTTTATCTGATCTCATTAACGCTTAGATATTACTTGTAAATGCAAGATTTGAGAGGTGGATGAGAAGAAAAAAACAAAAAACCCCACAGCAGTTTATTCTAAAGCCACAGCATCTCCTCCCACAGTACAGTTAGTGAAATACAAAGATATACCATCCTGAACAAGGAACAACTCTTATCTGCAGATAAGTCACTATCATACCAATTCTCTCCTGTTACCTCTAAAAATGCTCACATCTTTTCCAAGACAACCAGTCTACAATGACACTTACCCCCACATTTTCTTTTTGTATTTTTCAGCCATTTTTAACATGACATCCAGGTAAGAACTCCTTCCCGAAGCTCCTGTTTGTTAGAATTGGACAAGTTAAAAAACACAACTACGTGCTTTAAGTGACAAGTTCATATAGAAGTCTGCTTGTTTGTATGTCTACCTGTATCAAGAATATGAGGCAGGACAGAAATGATGCAGAGCTGATGAGCATCACAGGTACTCTTCAGAACATCTTCACCAGTTATCTAGAAGAAAGTGGCAGAAAGTCAGTGACAGTAACTCAGTTACCCAGCTGTGACCGCACTTCAGCCTATCGACTCCATCCTACAAACATAAGCATCGAAACAACTTGACACAAAAGCTTATAAGCCTCTCCTACTTCACTGGTCCCCCAACACAAGACTAATTACAAAGAGTTCACAAAGTCTTCTGTTGAGACCTGCAGCAGCTGGAAACTAAGTGGCACCAAATAAGGCTTGCAGAGAGCACACTAAGATGTCACTTCTCACCCAAAAATCACTGTCCTTGGACCAGGGCTGGAAACAGCCCGCCCAGACCTACGCATATGCCTGTAGGTTTCATTCATGGTACTGCTAGTGTAAGGAGAGCCAGCAGGGTGCAGCATTTGCTGAAGATGAAGACATTTCATTGACATTTAACAGAGCAATACCAGCTCTGTGTGATCTACCTTAGAAAGAAATCAATCCATTTACCTACATCACTGGTGTCCAAACTTTGTGCACCCCTACCAGTAAAAAATTTCTAAGCACACAGCCCCGGTGTATTGATTAGATATACACGTACTACTGTACTAACATTACGTACATGATAAAGCACACAGAAAACAGACATTTTAAAAGGATGACAAAGATGAAATCAACATAATTAAAAAAATATTTTAGAAGTTCATTAATGATACAAGTTTTTTAAAAATGTTTTTTTTCCGTTCTTGCACCCCAATGTGTTGTCTTGCATGCACCCCGCTTTGGAAACAACTGATCACCATTTCAAATCTACCAACATCAAGCTGCAACCGGAGGTCACCATAAAGACGGTGGAGTCTTTTGGACAACAAGCAAGATCAGTCATCACTCGCCTCCTAATGGATGGCTTACAAGTGACAAAACCCTGCCCTCTTGTTGTAAGAAAACAGATGGGGCACAGAACCCAAACTTTTCATTCATCCCTCAAGAAAGGATTCAGACACCCTGGTACCATCCTGTCAGTGCCTCCCCTGTATCAACTCTGATAATCTTTCTGTCAACAGCAAAGTCACAGTAAGAATTAAGTAACAGAAAGCTGAATGATCAGACTTGCCATCCCTGACTTTCTGCTACAAAACAGTGAGCAAGCAGCACACTTAGGCTGTTTCATTTGCAGTTAATGCAGTCCTGTAAAAACTGCTGCAAAGGATTTGATGCAAAAGCAGTTTGAGAAAATGATGTAGAGGTACCTCCAGGAGCTCAGGTGGGGGTGCATTATCAGAAAACAAATCCAGAGCACGAGCAATGATATCAGATCTAGTTCTCCCACCATCATAATCAACAGGGTCTTCTCCCTTCTGGAAGATTTTAATGGTGGGAAATCCACGAATCTGCAAGACAAGTTTAAGCCATCAGCTCAAATCTGAATATTTATGGTGGAAGTTACCTGCTACTCTGATGTGCAAGAGAAGGGGAAGAGATAACATCTGCATGAATCAAGTTTCACAGCATGTTGTAACTCAATTTGAACAATTTTGTAGCTTCCTACTTGTGCAACAATTCAAAACACAGTTAACACACACTGAAACAGTTTCAAGTTTTAGGCCTGAGGAATCAGCAATGGTTTCATCTCAATTTAGAGGCACTAAGCACTGCAGGCTTAAGTACCATTAACTCTCCCTATTTATTAGACATTAGTTTCCCAGTTTGTCTGACTGTGCCTACATGGCAACTCGTGGATCTCAGGCTCCCTCTGCTACACTTCCAGCAAAAATTGTTCAGTGTTCCTGCTGGTTGCCAGCCATGCACACTTACAAGGAAAATAAAACAGCACACTGTAAGCTCCCTGTTCTGTATTAAAAATTAAAGAATATCAGTTCACTTTAGGCATGCAGCACAGCTGATCTGGGCAGCTAATGTTGTCAGAGCAATCCCTGATAACTGGCTCCAAGATGTACAGGTACATGTGTGAGTTCTGGAGATGCCCAGCCAGCATACGAACAGTCTGAAAGGAGAGGCCTCTCACTTCAGATGATAAAGCTATACAAGATCTTACAGAAATAAACCGCCTTCTTCATCAGCAACATGCAGATTTATTCCTTTCCTCTCACTCCATTTATTTATATTGTTACTGATAGTCAGGAATGAATGATTTATGCAAAAATTGTATGTGCCACTTAACATTATTTTTAGCACAAACCATTTAAGTGGTACCAGATTAAGAAACACTTCAGTAAACATTAAAGGGAAATCTGACTTCCTAGAGATTGAAAGGCAATTGTAACCACTGCAGAGCACACTCACCCCGTATCGGCCTGCCAGCATCTGATTGACTGTTGCATCTACTGCAGCCAGCTTTACTTTTCCCTTTGTTTGTTCCTTCACCTCGGTGGCAGCAGCTGCCCATTCTGGCTCCAGGCTGAAAAACAAAGCGTGCGAGTGCGCTAAACTCTTCGAGCTAGCAGAATTATACCACATTCCAACATTATGTAGCATACTTCACTCAGGAAAAAGTCTCTGCAAAGAATGACAGCTAGGAGGGTTATTTCAAGTGAGACTGAAGTCCTGCATCTGAAGGAATGAAAAGGTTAATGTAACTTCTGGATCTTATTCCCACTGGTATCTGTGAATTTTACTGCTAAGGAGGAGTGCAGCCAGAGCAGCACCAAGGTGCCCTAAGCAGGAGAAGCCCACACATTTCTGTTAAAACATCTGACAGAAAACCCCACTTCTGATATACCAGAGATGCAAGGTCTGTTAGGGGATTAAGGGCATTGCACAAAAACGAGCATTAATGGGAACTGAATTGCCAAAGAAAAACCTCATTTACTTTTTGCAGTGCCCACACCATGGGGCATAGAACTCCACCATCCACACATCATCGCTATTGATGACGTTCTTATCAAAGCTGTCATCAGTCAGCTCAATCACATCCTTCTTATCTCCACCTCCGCTCTCTCGGCTCTGTAAGAAACAAACAGACCCTCACGTAAGAAGCACCCAAAATTGGTTTCCCACACAAGCCATCTCCTGTGTGTCAAGTCATACCAAATGCTCTTTATTTGAATGAAATACAAAACAGGCAGTGTTAGGTCATACAACTTCCCCATTTTAGAACTGGCAATACACACAGCCTACTCCCACAGCACTTTCAAGAAATCAGGTCAAATTGACTAAGAAGATGACGTGAGAACACTTCCCCAGTTCTTCATGCTCTGCTCTGTCCGAGAACAAAGTGCTCTCCAACCCCCCACCCCACTGTGCCCTGGTTTCCAGGCAAAGAGGCATGTGTGAGTGCAATACGCATTACAGGGTACAGTCCACCCAGGTCTTCTATCTGGACAACTGAGGATGTCAGAGTGTACTTGCTGCACGATTTAGAAACAGTAGTAGGAGCCAGAAGCTTTTCAACTTACTTTCAAGGAGAAATCCAGCAAGCTAACTTCAGAACAGTACCAAATAAAAAAAAAAACAAAAACAAAACACCAACAACTCTAGCTCAGACTATGACCTCAACCAGTTGGAGAACGGGGCTAACAGGGACCTCAGATTCAAAGGGAGATACGCCTGGGAAAGAAGAACGCCACGCACCAGTACATGCTGGGGACAGACTAGCTGGAAAGCAGCTTTTCAGAGACGGACCTGGGGGCCCTGGTGGACAAGGTGAACATGAGCCAGCACTGCACCCCTGTGGCAAAGGCGGCCAACAGCCTCCCGAGCTGCACTAGGCAGAGAGCCGCCAGCAGGTCTGGGGAGGTGATCTTTCCCTCTACTCAGCACTGTGTGAGACACCTGGAGTGCTGGGTCGAGTTCTGCGCTCCCCAGTGTATGAGGCATGCACACACTGGAGCAAGTCCAGGCAAGGGTCAAAGCTGATTAAGGGTTTTGAGCATCTGACATAGGATGAGAGGTTGAGAAAGCTGGGATTGCTCAGCTGGAAAGTGAGAAGGCTCAGCATGGATCCTATCCATGTCTATAAATACCTGAGTGGAGGGGAGTAAAGAAAACAAAGGCAGACTCTTCTCTGCAATGCCCAATGAAAGGACAAAAAGGGCCTAAGTTGAAATATAAGAATTTAAACATAAAAGAAAACTTTTCTACTCTGAGGGTGGTCAAACACTGGAACAGGCTGCCCAAAGAGTGCAGTCTGTGTAGAGTCTCAGTCCTTGTAGATATTCACAACCTGACGGGACACAGCCCTGAGCCATCTTCTCTAGTTGAACCCGCACTGAGCAGGGGGGCTGGACTAGACAACCTCCAGAGGTCCCTTCCAACTTCAACTATTCTGTGAACTGAGTCAGGAGCACAAGCTCTGATCTCCTGCACAGGACAGTCTCCGGTTGAAAACACACGTGCGCATTCCCTCCAATACCTGTTTCCCAGAACTATATCCTCCACTTCTGCCACTAAGACGGTCTTTCACCAGGGACCGAAGAGCACTTAGAGCAGCATCGACAATAGCATCACTTGTCCTGCCACCTGCAATGCAGCAAAATGAATGATTAGAGCATCAAAAGGCAGGTTTAAGGTAGGCCCCTGACTTAATCCCTCACCCTAAGGATTTCTCAGGCAAAGCAGGACTGGGCTATGAGTGGTATGGTACTAGTGGTAGAACACCTCTGACTCAAGCACAACCAGCAGGACTGATGTCACTCCACTTTTTAACTAGCCACCTTATCCAATGGGCAGTGACTGTGACAAGCTCCCAGTAAATAGAAAGAAAGAAGCAATTCTTCGGAACTGCCTATCAACCTCCACCAACTACAAACTGCAGGTGGGACTGTTATCCCACGCTAACACATGCACAATTTGGTCAAACAAGTCCCACCCATCTGTCTCTCAGTTACTACAAGCGCTAGATAGAAAGGAAACGCCACACAAGACAGCTACTGTAATTACTGTATTCAGGGAAGTTTTTAGGCATGCCACACATGAAAAAGCATCACATTTACCCTGATAATCCTCTGCTTTGTTTTTGTTGGCCCCAAATATCTTGATAGTTGGAAATCCTCTGACTCCATACTGTCCACCCAAGGACTGATGTTTATCTGCATCTACTGCACCTACTTTCACCACACCCTGTGGAAACAAAAAACAAAAACTAAGACAAGACTTCTACAGTGATTTAACACATTTTATACTCTGTGCATGCTGGAGAGAGAGAGGGAGTTTAGGAGGATAAGAAAACAGTCACCAGAAGAGAGGTGTTATGCTCCCAAAAGCATTAAACTACGGAACACCATATACGTCCATTTCTTTCTTCATCCTGACAAACTACACTCTAAATTGTTCGGGTTTGGGTTTTTTTTGTTTGGTTGGTTTTTAAGAAGGGGAATATATTTTACACAGGCAAATCACTACACGACCAAGTTTCCTGTAATTAAAGAAATACTAATCACCAACAGCTTACAAAGCTGTTTTCAAATATTCAGTTCATACTGTTCCTGCACTTCAGAGGCATGTGACAGGAGAGCAAAGAAAAGAAAAAAAAAAGATGCTATTTTTGGGGGGACGGCCATATTCTAATGTCTTCTGGTGCTGTTAAAAGCAGCCCTAGAAAACAGTAACAGGAATTCACAGGGACAAAATTGACTTGCTTCTGCTACAATTCAATGGCTTCTTGTAAAGAAGAAAAAAAACTCACAAAAATCCTGACTTTCCAAGTGCCTCGGACTGGCCACTTCTCTGGCTGGACAAGTATGATTAAAGTGATATGGTTTTGGGGACCAAATCCCACCTCCTTGCTCCCAAGCCAGATGACAAACAACCAAACTCTCTTCAATCCACTGCCCCAAGCACATTTGAAAGGTTAAACTTACTTTTAATGCTGTTGCTGCTTTCTTCCACTCAGGGGTTAGTCTTTGGCAGTGACCACACCTTTTAGAATTTAAAAAAAAAAAGAAAAAAAAAAAGAAAAAACATGGCATTCCGTACACAGTCAGGCTGTTGCAATGAAAGGCCCCTTTCTCCAGAACATGGAGCTTTGGATGGCAATAGCACAGAGGGTTTGTGCAAAGATGGAATACACATTACCAGACCTTACATGGAAGGGACTCCATGCTCTGGACATGAGCAGGATGGGAGACAGAGGTACTAAATAAGATGTGAAAAGCCAGTATTTTTCAATGGGAATTGGAAATTCTAAGTGTGAATTTGTATCTGTGCTTTCACATCAGAATCAGGTTCAGAAAGCCAGAAGTGAGGGGCCTTCTCACTCACCTAGTGCACTTTGATCAGTCATTTTTAATACTAATTTAAGCAGGAGAATTGAAGTAGTAAAACAGCATATAAGGTCTCGTTATTAGACCCTATTTGCCAACTTGAAACCAATTCCTGCCTTTTTCCCCTCTTGAGGACATTTAAAATAGGAATCCCACCTACAACTATTTTGCTAGTCATGAGGCCATCAAACCGATAACTGTACTGCCAACAGCTGAATGAAACCCTGGACTGATCAGCAGCAAACTCCTATGCTGCTCCTTCATGATAAGAGCAAGCAAAGACATAGCTGTAATTCTTACCACGGGGCGTAGAACTCCACAAGCCACAGGCTTTCACTCTGAATGACCTCCTTGTTGAAGTTAGTTGGTGTCAGCTCTATCACATCATCACCAGACGAATATAAACCGTTAACTGCCAGAAATAACGTGCAGCTCACTGTGCCTACAATAAAAAGCAAAGCAATCAGCATTCATGCAGAACATTTATGATTCTCCTGTTGCTAAATCATCTCCCCACTCCCTGCAAATCAGGAGGGAAAAAAAAAACAAAACAAAAAAACCCCACAAAAGTGAAAAGGATTCCAGTTTGACCATAAAAAAAAAGGAAATTAAGGCAAGATACACGCTTCCCGCCTCACTTAAATCATGATTGCACAGGATCACGTAACATATTCTCTGTGCCTAAAGACAGCCGGAGTTACGTCACTCCCACCATGGCTCTCCAGAGAGCATTTCGTCAAAGCTGCTACCCTAATACTACTGGTCCAGACTATCAGAACTTCCACAGGGATCCCCGCAATCAGCTACGTTTTCTTTCCATTCTCTCTCATAGAAATTCCTAAGCCCATTGCCCACATCTCTTGCACAGCAGGCATTCAAACACATCTTTCACAGGATCACATAATGCAGGACTGTCCCAGCTTGTCTCAGCAGTTACACTGATTTTAGGACCAAGACTTGATGCACTCCTAGTGCAAGGCGCTCCTTCATTTTTGCTCACAAGGATCTTAGTTTACCATTGATTTATCTCAATAGCAGCAGACTGGAGAAAGACAGCTAAATCTCTGCAGTTAACGACTCAAGCACTCTTACAGCTAAAAAAGAAACAACCTATCAATAAAAGGTACAAAGAAATCTCTTAAGAAGCACTCCATACTTTGGTCCCTTCTGGATCTTATTATTGCTTGAGGCTTTGCACATAAAACGTTGTAAACCTTCCTTCTACCTAGTCAGAGACTGAGAGATGACTTGAAAGATACCAAGCATCTCTATAACAAAATCCACATAGAAAAGGACTTTTCTTAATCCAAAGACTGGGGGAGGAAGAGCTCAGACATCGAAGTTAGAACTAGGCAAAAATTAGACAGCTTGCCGCGAGTGGTTAATAACTTGCATAGGAAACTGCACACTCTCTCTCAAGACTGAAGGTAAGAGGAAGATACAGTTCAGTGGTGTAGAAACTCTACAGCACATGGTACACAGACTGCACGGCATCACCTACGCTTTATCAGTCCTGCTCAAGAAAAGCCAGTTTCATCACAGCTATTCTGCAGGTGGGAGAAGCTGACAGAAGTAACATCTTGCAGGTTACCCAACCAGAGGGCAGGACTGAATCGCCACTCTGCAACCCAGCGCCCTATACATTGCACCACTGCCTCTCCTAATGGCTTCTTCCAGCCCTAGGACCCAACCCTTTTCTTTTGGGGTGATCCTGGTTGGCTTCCACCACCAGATTTACACGTTAGATTGGCTCTCTCCCTTCAGTATGCCCACACACAAACAGTACTTCATCAGCACTGATCAACTGACTTCCAAGGCAATCTGTGGCTGTCACAGCATGTTACGGTGACCTACAGTAGCAGCTGCTGCTGGGGTAGAGCAAGAAAATAAGGATGGAAAAAAGCTACTTGAATGTTAGTGTCACTCTCAAGAGAGAAACCCTGCCCTAGATGGAACGAGACCATTAAATTGAAAGCAGCATATTTTGACATCACCTAAAGAGATCTCTGGCAGGATACATTCAGAAGCTGAACAGAGTTCACTCAGCCATTTCTGTCACTTCAAATAGAGAAGTTCTAGCTTATGCAAAAACACCTGCTAAACTGAACTCACAAAAGAAAGCACATGGTGAAATTCACCTAGTCATGGACCACTGCATTATTTTTTTTAAACTATGACTCATGAACTGGTGGCATAATTTTCCTTTCTATAGTGAAATATTCAACATTTAATTAATCTTTAGCAAATAAAAATATAATTTTCCTACAAACATATAAGCCAGGAAAATGAAAACATGTCCTTGATACTAAGGCAAAAATCTCAAATAGTTTTGATTTCAAAAGTTGTTTTTCAATGTAAGTCAAAGACAGGAGCATTGTCAAACCAACTAAGGCAGCTCCATGCTGATATTACTAGTCATCATCGAAAAGCCAAGTTGTAACTCCGAAGATCTGTGAAAAAAAGCTTTTGCTCCGGGATGATGATGATTATGACTGTGAACTTCCTCCTCCTGCAGCAGAGCTCGGTGCGCTGAAGCTCACCCACCCCTGCCATGTGGTGTGTCGCTTGGTGAAACCTTTCGGGCCTGGGCAGTGCTATCCGCACCCTCAGCAGTTCTGCAAGGGGTCCGAGCGGGCCTGCTGAGCAGCTTTACCCCTTCCTTCGGCACAGACGACCCAGGAGCAGCGGCAGGGGAAGAGGAAGTACAATTAATTCCTCGCGGACTCCTCCTTTCGCCTCCAGTCAGTACTTTCCTACTGCCCTGACAGCACTAGATCCCATGCCAGGACAGCTAAGCAAGTAAAACGCCACCGCTCACTGGAAATCAAAGCTGCCTTTTTTTTTTTTTTTTTTTTTTTTTTAATTAGGGTGAGAGATAAGCACCGTTTTATTCTTTTTTGTTGCTGAGATCTTTAGGCCGTCTACCTGCGCTCCGATAACCCACCGAGCAACCGGGGGCGGCGCACAACCCCCGCTCCCCTGCAACGGCCGAAATGCCACAGCAGGCACTGCCC